ACTGAACACAAACTCCCGATCAGATGCATGGTGCATGGGACTGTGGCTGACCTAAGGGAGTCTACCGGAAAGACGATCAAAGTTTAGAATTCTCTCATGCAGAAAAGCTCGGAGAGATAAACGGAAGTCATGATCAACCAACAGAAATTTGCAAGCTTTGAAGTTGACATCAAGATGCAAAGGTCTTCACAATCCTAAAGACTACCACATGGTCATCATGATTAGGATATTTAGAGAACCAGAGTTGAAGCAGGCAACATCAGAACTAGTCTAACTACAAAAATGGTGAAGAGAATGAATCGTGGGACACGACGATACAACTTTTAACTTGTTCAAGAAAGATTTCAACTAGGATTTTATGCTTTTGAGTATAACTTTCAAAATGCAATGGTTAAAATCATTCCACAGCAAAATTGCTTCAAATTCCTATTCTGGATAGAAAACATTTAGATATATCTGTAATATTTTCCATTCAGAATCATAGAAACCGAAATGAAACATTTCTTTCCAAGGTTTAACTCAGAAATTAAAATACCAGTACAGGGAGATTAGGCATAGCAGGGGTCTCGCTACATTTCCAGCAGCGTTAATGCCCAAAAGTATGTCAGTCGGTTTCCCTAAGGGAGCATTCATAATTTACCTAGAGGGGGGGCTAGATGACTTTGAGGGGGGTCACTCTTTTCCCTGATATGATTTGAGGAGGGGGGGGCTGTGAAAATTTCAAACAAAAATGGCATGGAGCATAGAGGGGGCCAACCATTTTTTTTTTTCCTGAAAAAGAAAAGGAAATGAAAATATGCTGTTGGACGCTCTTATATTTACTGTCGTTTATTTCATTTCGACAAAATGTTGATACAGAACAAGAGTATGAAACTTGATGCATGACGCCCACTTCTTGTGCTACAAGGTCCCTTTGCGAGTGGCTCCAACTCACTGTCGTCACCCTCCTCACTCTCGTCACCCTCCTCACTCTCGCTCTCCTCATTCTCACTCACCTCACTCCGTGTTTCCCCCAAGACAGTGTCGTCGCCTTCGTCATCATCATCATCATCATCATCATCTGAGACTGCTTCTGGCTCTTGCAGAAGAGCCAGATGGTTTTCAATGCCTCAGCCCTAGTCTCTTTCAAGGGAGTGGTAATCAGTTCCAGTTTTTCTTTTCTCAGGTTTTTTTTTTTCCAAGGTAACGAGTGATTCTTCAAATATAAGCCAAGTTACGAAACGTAAAGAGAATTTAGCCCTTCAGTCAGAAGAAACTCCTCCCAATTGTAATCTCCATAGCTCTTAGATGCTCTCGCGCGCCTCTTCTGAGCAGTTTCCTGTGTTCGTAGATTTTTGCAACAGGATAAGTGTTTTAAATGGTCTATGTAATTCTTAACCAGTTCCTCAGAAACCACAAAAGCTACAGAAAATTCAGCTATCTCTTTTGCTGTTGCCAACTTTCCTCCTATTTTTAATTATCAGCTAATCGAGATCAGCTTTTCTCAAGAATGTCCAAAATAGAACGATTTTGAATTAAAAATGCATAGAGATTTAATTGTACTGAACATTAAATTTTCATAAATTGACATCTTGAAATATCACCATTTCATTAGTGCAAGTTGTTACTGATTTACTATGTTAATTACTAATAAAGTTCAATAGACCTTTCCCAAGAGTTTGATATGGCTAAGGGTGAGTTTGACATGTTGTACTGGGGAGGGGGGGGCTATGATATTTTCCTTTGATGAATTAACATCTCTTGAGGGGGGGGTCAGAAAAAAAACCCTGAGATGATCAGGGGGGGGGCTTCGAAAAATGAAAGGAAAAAAATAAGGAAATCATCATAGCCCACCCTCTAGATAAATTATGAATGCTCCCCAATCGACTGTGACATTCCGGCTTATTTTGCTTATTCTGGAATGTTTGTACTTTAGAAATCAGCTCCCCCGCATCTCTCTAACCTCCAAGCCTAAGTTACATTTTTTGAATTACAGTCTCGTATTTCCTTGATAAAAGCAAATGAGTGAATTAAACTACCATTTTAGAGTATTAAAAGGAACATACCAGCGAGTCATGATTTGTCAGCGTTTTACACTTCGCGTGTCTACTGAAAAACAAAAAAATTAAAAAATGTCCTAAACAATATTGGCATGCTTAATTGGCCTTATCTACAACAAGTTCACTGCCCTTGTTCTCCCATGATCCTTCAAGTCCTCGGGACCAGCAACCAATTCATAATTTCTCCTAACACCGAGAAACACAGCGTCATCAGGGAGATAGCGAGGAGAAAGAAAGATGTCAACTGGCGAACATTGTTTGATTTGACACTAAGTTTCAGGGTTGAAATCATACGAAATTTACAACAGACAGTAAGGGAAATAGATGTTGGATCGTTGGTTAGAAAGCTCGACTGCTCCTTCATCGATCATGCATCCATCCGTTAAAATTGTATAGACGTGTTAATCTTGAATTGTGTAAACTAAATAATAACTCTCGCCATCCATTTCTGGAAGGAAATATCTGTAAAAACTTGCATTGAGATGAAAGTTAGGCACGGACTTCGAGATTCTAAATATCTATGATTTGTCTGTTTGCAATTTTTTTTTTTGACCTGTGAATACAAATCACAAGTCAAGAAAGCAAAAGTTCGAAAAGCGGAAGAAACGGTCAAGCGCTTATAAGACGTGACATGCAAACATTAACAGTACATCATAATTTGAGAATTTGCATAGGGTGTGTTTAATTTTTCTTTATCGATCTTCGTTCCTTTTCGTTTTAGCTACGGAGTTGCTAGGCCATTTCTCAGTCGGAAAAGAAGAATTTAACGTCCTTTTCCATTTGATATATGCTATCACTCTTTTTTGGTTCAAAATGATCCGTGGAGTTTCGGTTACGTGTTTGTCGTTTGCAGCCGTTCACCCCCAGCCAAATGTATTCTTTGATTGTAATTTCTTAGTCATGCCTTCATGGTCAGACATAGCAGTGACGCAAAGAGTCGTTTACAATACGACCCCACTTATCAGGCAATATCGGCCATTCAAATAACGCAGTGGTACCTGCTTTACGTTGTTTTCTCGCCAACGCTACACCCTGAACGCTGACCTGAAAATGTGCGTGAAAATTTTTCTCGGGTATGCCATATTTCTGGTTTGTCTGTCTTCTTCATCATGCAAGAGACCTCAGCCTTTCAGACAGCACAAGGCAACAATGCGCGAGTTAGAATCCATTACTACGCATGATTCACCTATACGTAAAGAACGTAGTGCTAGTAACGTAGCCGGCCACGTGTTGGAGCAAAATCGCAAACTAATTCCTGGTATGTCCGGAGTTCACTACGTTCCCGATCGGCTCCGTCGAGCTCATAAATCTGCCAGCCCAGAAAAGCTTTATCAAATGCATCAGGTAAGATTTTACTTCGTTCTTGTCATCTCCGAGATTATTATGAACAATGAATTTTAGTTGAAGCTTCACTGATTTTTCCCTTGGTCACCGAAGTTCGAGTTGAGTCGTGGCTTTCTTTGTGGTTTGTTGCCAATCACTTAAAAAATCTTTTAATTCAGCTTGAATTTAGCCTAAAATCAGCATCTTTCGTAGCGGATTTGTCATGAAAAATGGCTTGTTCAAGATATCAGCTCAACTTCCATATCAGGCGTAACAAAAACGCAGAATTTAAATTTAGGCCTTTTTTTCTTATTCCATATATTCTCCTAAAGTTTTTCAATTAAAATGGCTCCTTTATCACATCATGACTGTGTCAAACATGCCTTTGAGAATCTGTTTCTTCTCTTTAAGGTTGAAATGAAAGAAAGTTATGGCGAAAAAAGAGTGAAGAGGGACCAAGGTACACACTTAAGTGCGATGCTTTCGCATATTGTTAATAACTTGAATACGCCAGGTCCACAACTTGTCATGCGCATAGGCCTTGTATCACTTGTAACATTTTGCGGTGACTTTCGAAGTGGTTCGCGGTATTTGACCAGCATATTTCTAATCCTCTTCTGGCATTAAGGCCGACCTGTTAGGGCGTCGCCTTTGCATGATGTACTCTGTTATGATTGGTTAATTTTTGCATCATGTGATTGGCGCATGGTAATGCTGAGTGTCCCTTTTAGATTCTTCTATCAAACAGCTTTCCTGTAGGTGTGTTTCATGATTGTATACATACAATTACGATACAATACAGTCTCTGTCGTTTCAGTTATTGATACTTCCTCGTATATCTGATCAAAATCATGTACGGACTCTCTACTCACTTCAAATGACCCACGCTGAAATGCAATTACTGATAGCGTCGTGTATGAAGGAGTTACTGACATGTGACAGATTCATTTCAAAAAGCATCAGCAGCTGTGATTAAATGAAGAAACCCGTACGAATTTTTACACAAGTTGCGTAAGCCGAACGCATTTTTCTGTATAAAGAAGGTTAGTTCCTAAAGACAATGTGGTGCTGCGTCGGTGGAGAGGGGAGGGGAGGGGGTATTGCAAGATAATTTGGTTTTATTACATGAGTCGATAATGTAGATTGGCCACCGTAAAGAGTTTCCAAAGCTGACATTTCGAGCGTTGACCCTTCGTCAGAGCGTATAGGTTTAAGTGTCGTTAGAGCGTAGCGTCAAAGCTGTAGTTTTGACATTCTTCAATCTTATGCTATATTTGTATTTTTCATGTTTGTTAGGTCTATTTTCTTTCCTAGTTGATTGTTTGTCGGTCAGATTTAAATTGCCGTTATGTCATTAAATGTTTTCCTCTCTACGATATTCTTCCAGGTCTTCAAGAAAATTACCTTTTGTACGCCATCAGCAAAAATTCCTTCACAGAAATTCACAAAATCAATCTGGAAGATAACAGCAATACCACGCTGATATCTCATACACAGTTTGGAGAATTTGCAGGTTTAGATTACAATTACAAACAAAACCGTTTGTACTGGGCAGATTCCGTTACCATTTACCGCTCATCTCTAACAGGATCTGGTAAGCCTGCATATGTATATTTAATAAATAACTTTGATTTTATGTTAATTTGGAAAATGTTTAATTTTCGATCATAAAGATAAAAATGTGTGACAGTGTCAGTAGTAACCATGTTACCATTGGACCATATCAGCATGTTTCGCTCGAAAAGTCGCCAGAGAAATTTGCAGATGGGTGTCTGATGTAATCACAAATTGTACTATTTTGTTGGTTTGCAGGCGCGTAGCGTCCTATACGCATATACGCACGTGCGTACTTGAAGTGACCAGAAAAATTTGAAAACAATGTTGTGTTTGCGCCAAGTTTGCTCAAAATAAGGGCAAGACGCTTTGTTCTTTGCTTGTATTCACACAACTATTTCGTACAATAAAATAAAGAACGCAGTATTTTTTCGCTCAGTTTACTTAGGTTTCTAGATCATATGTACTTGTGCGTACTTGAAAAAATGACCACGCTACGCGCCTGGTTTGTTTTTCATTGTTTACTCCGCGCTTTGATTGGACTACCTTCCTACAATGTCTCCCTCCCAACCAATCAGATGCAAAAAAACCAAGGGCGTCTAATTCAGTCACACGCGTTTTCCCGCGTTTTCCCGCGCTTCCCGCGCTTTCCCGCGCTTTCCCGAGCTTCAGGCTGTGCTTGTGGTTACTTTGAATTCTCATCGGCCCATGATGTGCTCACCTTTTCTGACTGGCCATTGGGTTTACTCTTACTCTGGTAAGACAACACTAAATGGGAAAGGACCCATCTAGTGTCATGATATAATTATACAACACAAACAGGCGAACGTTACTATTTGAGGGAAAGTACTGTCACTAGGGATGATTTCGGAGAGACCTGATGATGTTCCATGAATTTTACTGCATTTATATTGAGTTTCGAAGAAGCAAAACCAAAGGAATCAAAACAGCCAATCAGAACAAAGAAAATATCCTAGGAGCCGAAAATTGAATATTAAGTGAAGTGGTCGCGATTGCTTTTACTTTATCGAGGGGGGCTGTGAGTTTTCGATTTTCTCGACCAATCGAACACTGTTGTGAAAAAAAAAACAAAACAATGTGATCCCGTATTACTCTCAACTTCCCTCGAGAGAGATTTTTGTTTGCTTGCCAAACACGCATGTTTCAGGAAGTTTAAATTTTTCAGTGAATTTTTTTTTTTTAATATTTGGAAGCAGCAGTAATTCAAGTCATGAAAGAATTCTTTTTTTTTTGTTTTTCATTTATAGGTGTTGAAATTGTTCACAATAACTTGCCAGCGGTAAAAGGGATCGCTGTAGACTGGCTCGGGGATAATATATTTTGGACGGATGCATCCGGCATAAAAGTTTCAAGAACTGATGGTCGCTTTATCAAAACGCTCATCAGTCATCCAGACTACACAGGGATTGTTTTGGATCCTGAAAGAGGGTAAGAGAGATGATATCTCCAGATCTATCAGATTAGAGACTGGCCATTATTATTTCGCCTGGGGG